GCACCCCCTCGCCCAGCCAAATCGACTCTCTAGCAAATTAACGATATCAGATCATTGGGGAATTTGTAATTTTTTTTGTCTTCGTCCCTTCTGCCTAATCTCCCTCCGTCCCTATAAGAGGCTAGATGGTCCATTAGTCGCTATCAAGCCAAGAGAGGAGGACTGGGTCGACGAGCGTTTCTCTCTCCTTTGAAAGTTTCTATTCTTTTAACCTTTAAAGGTCGAAACAAATAATTACACACGGGGGCATACATCCTACAACGGCGCGGCATTCCAGCACGGCGGCTCTAACTTTATTAGACGCCTATTTATAAACTAATCGTGATTTATAAACCGATCTGAAACAATGGAGAGGCACGCCATGCATCATATTCGCCTAAGACGCTCGCTTGCGAACTTGTTAAGCCTTCATAAATTACGCGAACCTCAGCGCGTCCTCCCCCACCCTCGCGGGATATGCAGCTACGCGAATGTCTACGTGCGCGACGGTACAACCCGGCTGTAGGAGCGTCGCGACGCCGCGGCCAATCTCACGAGCGAAACTTTGATTCGAACGTCGGATTTTCTTGTCCCTAGGAAGCTAAACGTTCCTTCCGTGTTCCGTGAAATAAAGGGGAGGATACTGCGCCATGAAATTGGACGACATTGTCACAAGGATCGCATTAGTCGCCGTGGTACGTAGCGTGTTGGAAAGTGCACACACAAGCTAATTACAGGACGACACGAATGCCTTTAATTACTTTTATTCGAGTTTCAACGAAATTTACCTAGGTGAATTTACTATTTGGATTCTACTTCTGTTTTCTCTCCTTTTTCTCGCGCAGCGTACGTATAGCATTCTCTCTCTCTCTCTCTCTCGCTCTGCCTCGTTCCGGTACGAATCAGCAGGTTGTTTCTCCTCGAGGTGGATCCACCTACGTCTGGACTCTTAAAATTCATTCTGATGCGTCTGGCTTCTGGCTGGCTTCTGGCTCTTTTCTATAGGTCCTATCATTGATGGGAATGCTAATGAGTCCCGAGGAGGGAATGTGGTATGTTCGAATTGCGAAAAATGGTCAAAAGTCCAAATAAAGGAATAGCTCGGATGGCTCCGTTGGATATTGGTAGCGGCGAATAAGAGGAGAAGAAGGGATAAAAATAAGAAGCAGTTGAAGCAGGAGAAAGGTGGTAGCGACTAGCGACTACCTCTCCCGGAGATTGGCTCGCTCGCGGCGAAGTAGATTCTCGTATGTCTTTCTGGCATTCGCAATCGAGTCGTTCCGCGACATTGCCATAATGGAGACGCCTCTTCCGCGACGCTTTATACTTCCATCGAATAATCGCAATTAGAGAGAATTCACTGCTGAGCTCGCAATCTTCTCTCACTCTATATCTTTTGCGCTGCCGTCACTCTGCTACACTTTCTTCTTGTTCTCGTTCGTCCTTTTCTGACTCTCACCTCTCTCACGTGCAACTGGCGCTTGGTAAGGATCCAAGAATGAAAATTGATCGCGCAGTCGGCGCCCAGCAAAAACGGACTCCCCTATCAATCCTCAATCAGGGGCATCAGGGCCAAACTTAATAGCCCATACTCTCCGGAATCTGATTACCGGCTAAATAGTACCGAGAGACACGCGCGGCCACGCGGAGGTCAGGTCGAAGGGCGTCGAAGGAGATGAAGCAGGAAAATAGGAAGATGTGAAAGCTAAGATCAGCTCAGAAAAAGGCTCTTTATCCGTCTGACTGGAGTTTTTACGGGTTCGTCTGGACGACCTAACGGGTCAGCACTGACTGAGCTCGGTTCAGAAGGAGGATGCATCCCCCTGCAGGTTCTTACTTTTTCGTTCCAGTTCAAAGGGTGAGTAGTGCATGCAACGGGGGAAACAGCTGAAGGATTTATAGGGAGGATCAAGATGATAATGATGATGATGATGATGGTTGGGTACAGTTTAGAAGGGGAGGATGAATAGGGAAAAAAGCGAAGTTCAAGAAGTGGGAAACTCGTGTTGGCGTTGGGCTGGTGTTCGGAAATGGCTTAGGGGGTGAAAGGACGATGTGGCACAGGGTGACGCTCTGTGGCTGGAAACTTGGGTAGGAAGCCAACCACCTCAGTGGGTAATTCAAACAAGGCTAACCTAGAGTAAGCCGGCGTGGATCCATAAATCGGTAAAACGAGAGCAAAACGGCTAGATTGAAGAAAGTTGGGGGTAATAGATAGGGAGGCTAAGGCGCCCCGTAGAATACAGAATGAGTGAAGAAGCCTCCAAGTCACATATTCTACCGAGTGTTTCAACTCGACCTTTAATATCCCCATATCTCTCTCTCTCTCTCTCTCTAAGGATTCTGCATCCTCGCACTTACACTCCACTACCGCTTCAACCGGCATCCTTTCACCGTCACTCGATTCCTCCAATATTCCAGGACTACCCAATTCGCGCGGAGACGTTTGAGGAATAACTGAATTCGATTCGTCGAATGGCCCAGGAGGCATTCTAAAAATGTCCTAGCGCTATAACCATTGATTCTTGAGTTCGGGAAGCAAATGGTGCTTTTCTCCGTTACACCTGGAGACTGATGGCTCAACGAATTAAGGAAGATAAGGATGGTAAGGAAAAATGACAAATGCCAGAGGAATTGTCATTGCGGCGACGCCTTGATTACCGAAATTTATTGGACATCGTTCCAGGAACTAGTGAGTCACAACACTTAAAGATTTCTCGAATAAAGTCGAATCTCACCGGACTCGGACGGATAAGAGCTGGAGATCGTTTCCAAGGTGGCTGCTGGAGGTAGTTGGGAATAGTTGAGGATGGGAAAGGAAATAGGCGAAACCCGGTAACGTTCCGGTAGTTCACATTCGGCTTCTATCGGATTCCCATCTCGTTTCTCAGCCAGAATGCATCTCGCGTTCACGAATCGTGTCTGGAGTCCTCCTAAAAAAGCAGGGAATTAATAGCTGCGAGAATAGAAGCAATAGGTAGCCAGGAGCCATGACGGCAGCTTTCTAGATTGGTATCAACGGTGATCACCAGAAATCGGGAAAGTCGTTGATTTCGGTGAAAATGGGAAAATCGGATAAACGGTAGATAAGAAAAGTTTATGTCTAATTGAGAAGAGTAAGAAGCCAATTGGTCCGGACTAACCTTGGGAAACTGTCGAATCCCTCGTAAAACCGTACGTGTGAGCTCGAACGAACCCTCCTCGTGGTGGCTGCTGCCTTTGTTCTATGTCCATTCGTGGGCTCCGTTCAGTCCTGTGCTCTTCCCACCAAGGCCAAACTGAAATATAAGAAAATGACGACAGGGTCGCTGAAACGAGGACGAAAGTGGAAAAGAGTGGAATTGGGTAGAAAATGGAGCGTCGACGCGGGCAAGAGACAGATTATAATGTGCGCTTGAGTAATACCTATTGGAGGAAGGGGGTCGCCGGTATTAGGAAAAATTGGCTACGGACCCTGGATCCTAATAAATTATTGTCTTCGAAGTGGGATTCGCCGAGGTTTCGCCCAGTTTCAGCCCTTGTGTAAACGAGGGATTAGCCTAATTGACAAATTTGTTCAAAAGCAACGCCAAAGCCCATCCTCCTGAGCGGCTGCGTCCCGCTCATCCGCACTTCTCATCTTTAGCAAATATTAAATTGACCTAGGTTGTCCCTGTTTTCGTGTATTATTAGAAAGACCGTTAGGAAAATTGAAAGATTTGGTACACATCGCTGCGTGGGGATCCAAGCGCGACGCATCCAAAATGAAGCTGGCTGTTACCTGGCGGAATCAAAATGGAAAATGCGCACGTTCTCGAGGATATTAAATATTATGGCACGTAGAATGAAAATTAACTTGAGCGAAGACGAGGGAGAAGCTTCGCACCAAAAGTCCCATCGAGCCACCGCAGGCGGTTGCATTCGATATCAGGACCAGGAGCCGCAAAAGTCGTAGCAGCTGTAGTAGTACCATTGGACATACCGGTGTAGAGGCAGAAGCAGCGGCCAGAGTTCAGTTTCATAAATCCTCGTTGGCGTAATTTGACTTACAACGTTTTTGCCCCCCTTTATTACGTCGCCCGTACGGGGGTAAAGCTCGCACATATTCGTGGCAGATTTTTTTAAGGGATGACTCCAGCCTGTCTCGTTTCTTCTGATTATTCTAAACGCTACCTTGACTTCGCCTTCTTCTTCTTCTTTCCTCGTAGCATTCCTTTTCCCACGAATCTGGCCTCCCTCTGGCAACCCTCGGTCCTACCCTCGGGGCCAACCTTCACGACCCGCCGCCGACCCTTCCAGCAACCTTTGATAAATCCTACGGGCTGACGTCTTCGCGGTCCCTTACCTTTCGCTTTTTCTTGCCAAGAGGATACTCCGGAGTCCTGAAGAGCCGCAAGGGCTCCACTGCTTCTGACTCCCGGCGCGACCCTGCGCGACCCTGCGCGACCCAACGCGAATCAGACTAATTCTTCAAGAAATTAAACAGGGTTCTCGTTCATCCGATAGCTTTCCGAATCGAATGGCGGCTCCACTCGGATCGAGTTGCGACCAATGTCCGAAGCCCATTTAAGCTCGGGAACAATGCAATAATGAAACTCAAATATTTTTAAGCCCAGCTACGGGAAAGCCACTGGGTATGCACTGTAATACGTTTGGGGCCGCGTGCACCGCGCATAGTAAATGGATCGACCAATATTTGCAGGGTTTTGGCAAACAATCAAACAAACAGGAACTGTTCGGCATGTTCGAACACTAAATGTTAGTTAGCGCAACTCAGGTGTGTGTCATTTCCATTAGTAGTTGCGGTGATTGTCTGGCCTATAACGGGTCGGCTCCCAGTGCTATGTTCTAAGTAGACAATAGCTAACCCCACTTGTGCACCTAACCCCTTTTGCCAACGCGATCCACCCTTTGGATACGCTAGGCCACCCTTAAACAAGCTGTACGTATCATAAGACACTTCAGTGCGCGCCGACGCCTCCCGCAAACTGCCTTTCAAGCTCGCATTTCCAATTTGCTACTTTCGCGTTATCGCGATTTTCAAAAATAAATTCACGATCCGTCAGTTGTTTTTAATGTCAATTTCGCAAAAGCTGCGTCCGGTCTTCGGAATAATTGTTCCTCTCTGTCAATGTGTCGATTAGCTTCGTAAACTGGAATTCGTGTCTGTTGCCATTTTCGTGCGATGCATTTTCGCAAAGTCAGGCGCGACGGGACGAGACGAGGAAATGGATGCGATAATCGCCGACGCTCTCAATTTTGTTCAATTTTTCCAAAATCCGTGATATCCGGTACAATGAGCTCTCGTTGAACCAGGTCCGAGGTCATTGATAATATTGGTTCATCCTAGGAGCAGATATTAACCAAAAAAGGCACTACGTTGACGCGGTAGCCAACCTTATAACACACGCGGAGGATGTGGTAATATTTCGTCAAAATTTCCCAGCGTAATTACTGACCCGTAAGGCAGCATACATATACAGCGTTAAAACTGCCACGAGATAATTCACAATAGAATTAAAGTATAGAGATAATTTGAAAACGTTGCCAGTGCTACCAACTTCGGTCCACGAATCAGTGAGAACCAACAGTCGCACGTTCAGCAGTATAGACACGACAGTGGATGCTCGCTGCAGTACCCGATTGCAAATGCGTCGCGTGAAGCGTCGCATGAAGCGTCGCGACGCCCAGTGAAACTCGATAAAGAAATAGATCCGGGCAGATGGTGCTGTTAGTACGGGACAACGTCGTTCGCTTAACGAGCACCGAGAAACTAATCGCACCCCGTCCGCGCGATGCCTTTACCTACTAACGTAACACGCGTACAACCGAATCCACATAACTCAACCTGCTATGACCCACATCCAACTAATTTTCAGATAATTAATATTTCACTCGCGGCTTTGTTCCGCGCGAGTTAATTTCGATTTGGCCACGTTTCAGTTTCCTGCACAGCGGTTGGATTGCCTGACTGT